CACAGAGTCAACGTCGAACCTCCGAGTCTCAACCTGCCAACTCTCCACGATATCAACCTCGTACCTCTCCGCTGCCTCAACCACGAAGCTCTACACACTCTCATCGCCAATCCTCTCCAATGTCTGAAGAACAAATATCTCCAGCGTTTGAAGCTAACAACTCTGAAGTGGATGAAGGAGCCACCTTTGAAGAAGAAGACGATCTAGTCCCAGCCAATCTCGCGGAGGACCAGCTGCAAATCCTCAATGCTATACCCACTCAACCTGACAGAGAAGAGTTTACGACAGTCCTCTCTCCAATAAAGAGGCCGAATACAACATGGTACGCCTCTCTCTCTCTCTTAACTTAGTGTTCTTAACATTAATCATGTTGAGCTGCAATGGAACAATAGATTGTGTGATGGATGTTTAGCTTGTTTGATTTGTGATATGTACTATGTTCGTATAGGATGTGAAGGACGTGTAGCTTCACACATATATGTAGGATGTGTAGCTTCGTGTGATATGTGTCTTGTTTGAAACTGATGCCTGTTTTTGGTTAGTACTAGTGCATATGTGATATTGTTCTCACCGTGATATATTGCATATGTCTGTGTATTGGTTATGTGACATGTACTGGTGCATATGTGAGTCATTATTGCATCATGATATTGCATATGTCCAGTCATTATTGCATTGTGTAAGTCATTATTGCATCGTGTATTGCATCGTGATATTGCATATGTCTGTGATATTGCATCGTGTATGTGATATGTACAAGTGCATATGTGAGTCATTATTGTAATTGATTGTTTCTCTGTTTGTAGGTTTGGTCGTGCAAGTCTTCACTGACCCGTAAGATAACCAAAGTCTTTACAAAAAAGTTTGATGGTCCTTTTTATAGCTGGACATGTGTGCCTCGGGAAAGACAGGAGCGGTACTTCGTTGAATTCGCGGTAAAGTATCCTTTTTTGTAACTTTGATTCAGTTTTTCATCTTTTATGTTTGCTCACTAACATTATATTCTCTCATGTTATTTGTAGAAAAAACACACCTGGGATCCCTTAATAACTGGTGTTGTTCAACAAAAGTTTGAGAGTATATGTCAACAAAGGATGAAAGATATGGTAAGCAAAGTAAGGACTTCTCGGGAGCAACCTAATTGGATAGGTGATACTCTCTGGAAACAAATGACCCAGTATTGGAACACTGAAGAAGCCAAAGAGAAGAGTGCAACCACATCAGGGGCTCGGCTGTCTGAACATAAGGGTCTTGGCCCTCACATACACGTGTCAGAGCAAAAATCATATCTACAAATCCAACAAGAAATGGTAAGTACTATATCCATACCTAATCACTCAGTTTTAAACTTTTAACTCTTGCATCTTGTTCTTATCATTTCAGGAAGAAGAATTGGAAAGACTGGTGAGTCTTGGTGAAGTTTTCATCAAGACTCATACAAAAGCAGATGGGACCTTTGTAGACCGAAAGGCAGATAGCGTGGCTGAAAGGTATAAGAGGAACTTAAAAGCTAGAATTTATAACCAAGGGACACTAGACTCAGATTCTTTAGAGGAGCTAACCGTAGAAGAGGAGAACGACCTCTTTCTCCAGGTAAGTCCTCGTTTTTGGTTTGTAGTTTGTATTTTATAATATAGTGTGATCATTTGGTTTTTTTTTGTTTGAACCATTCTTTTGTTGTTGCAGTCGACATTCACAAATGAAAGAGGTATTCCATATGGAATTGGAAGCCTTTCACAGTCGCATATTAATGGAAAGAGGAAGTACCCAGGTAGCTCTTCAACATACAAGACTCTGCAAGAACAGCTAGAAGAAGCTCAACGCAAAAGAGAAGAACAAGCAGCTGAGAATGCAAGGCAAAAGTCCGAGCTTACAAGAATTTCTACAGAGCAACAAGCCAATATCGACAAACTCTCCCTGGTCGAAAGGTATTTGGCTGCAACAGATCCAGGGGTTTTCGACTTTTTGGCCACAAACAACACCTCTGAGGAGCCAAATGCTGCTCCGATGACTTCTGCTCCTCAAACCACTCATCTCGCGGAATCATAGGTTACTCTACCTCTCTCAACTCTTTTGGTCTCCTTTGAACTCTTATTAATGGTGCTCTCTAGTAATCTCTCGGAATCATAGGCTCTAGAACCTTTTCAATGACTTTGATCTCCTTTTAAACTTATCTCCATGGTTGTATATAGTAACTCATTTTTCAATGGAAGTTACTATGACATTTAACTTTGTATGTGATCTCTTTTTTTGTGAACATATGTAATGTAAGGTTTCTATGCTTTTTCATTTCATATATAGTTTAAAATTATTATGTGAAACAAATTTTTAAAAAAAATTTATAGTGGATTCAAATTACAAGTTTTGGAGGAGCGAATTCGTAATACCAAAATGTAGTTTCATTATGAAAACAGTCGCAAGAGCCCTTAAAGTGATTTTGCGATTGGGTTACCGTTGCCTTGTGTTGACAGTATTCTTAACAATACGCGAACGGTTAGGTTAGGCGATACAAGATGGGTGCCAAGTTTCATAGGAGGTTGGGAGACCACACGTTTGTGTGGTTCTTGTCTTGAGGGGAGGATTGTTGAGATATCAATCCAAATCCTACACCAGAAATTTGAAAAAAGAGTGTCTAATATATAATTTATGTCTAATAATAATTAGTATAAGACTTTTGGGGAAGGAGTTCAAAAATAAATCTGTGCAAACTTTACCAGTTGAACCCAAAACAGATAATATCATATTAATAGAGAATTTGACATGAACTTGTAAAGTCCTACATACACTTAACTTATCATTGAAAAAAATAATTTCTCGTAATATATTTTTCATCTTATAATTTTAGATATGTATGAATTTTTATTTTCATTTCTTAAAATGCATAACCTACTGCAAAAGAGCAAAATACTAATGTTTTTGTGAAAACTAAATATTTTTCTTTTGAGTAAAAATCATCTAATTTTGTATTTACTATTTAATTAACTTGTAACTTTTCATTATCCTTAATAATTTATAACTATTAGAAAAATGTTTTACGATTTATTTTATAATTTTTAACATAATAACTTTTCTTCCTATTTCTTAAAAGTAATTATTCCTTCATTAAATCTTATAGTCATCTAATTTATACTCTAAATTTTTTTTTCTTTTTTATTTTTTTATCTTTTTGTAAACTCAGTTTAGATGAAAAATAATAACTATAGTTAATGTGTGAGTTAATGGAACCAATAATTTTGTTTTTAGTATTTTCTCTCTTTTTAAATGAACAATAATAATTATTGAAAAAGTGTGAACTAATTGAATCATTAATTTTAATTTTTTTTTTATGTGGATACCTTAAATGGTGAAAAAACTCTCATATTATATAGCATTATCATTATTAGTATGAGGGACCACTTTCGATCTGCATATCCAAGAATGGTCATCAACATGTGATTCTTTATTAGGACAGATATTTTTTCTGTTCTCACTAGATTTGATCACAGTACGTGAGTGTTCAAACACTAGAATTGTCTGTCTAGTAATTTATCATACGGAAAAAATTTCTCTTTTCAATAAATCCGGCCCGACCATAAGGCGAGAAATTACCTTCAAGACACATATCTTATTTTAAGGGCCACATTACAATTGCCAAATTAGTCTAATGGTCGAAGAGCTCATTCTTTCACTTCACGTATTCTGTTCTATGGGTCTAAGAGATTTATAATTTTTAGTTTATCAAATATATTTCTTATTTTCCTTTTTTTAAATACTCAATAGTGATTTTGTTTTTTGTCTTTTCTTAAATCATATTTTTGTGTTTATGCTTATGTTTTTTTTTTTTACTATGTTTCCTTTGTTTTTGTAAATCCAACACGGACTCAGAGCTAGATAAAAGTATATGTATGCATATAGTGAAAGTGTGGAACAATGCACAAATGTCGTCTAGCAATTTATTATACAAAACATTTGTGTCATTTCAATAAAGATTTGTGCCATCTCAATGTCTAGTAATTTATTATGCATCAGCTTCAGGCCACAATCAATGGAGGCTAAACAATCAATGCATAGCTAACCATCTGGCTAACGTATTCTATCAAACTTGTTACTTTGTTAGCATTCTAGTGTGTGCGTGAGTGTTTAAACAAAGTTCCTCATACACTTTTGGAAGGCATCACAAGAGTTTGTGTTGTGTGTAAATCAACTTCTTTTGTATACATAGAAACCTTTTCCCAAATGGCATCAAGATAAGCTGATCTGAAGTCTTCATAACTACTATTTGCTTTCTCCGTACTTTACTTTTTTAACAAGAAACTCTATAAGAGTTTTCTTACTGTTGTTTCAGATAACAAAATATTCTAAAGGGCTCTGCTAGAGCAAGTTGAGGAATGTAACGTTATGGTTTTTTATTAGGTTTGTTTTAGGTTTTCCTTTATCAAGTGGATTTGGAAGTCGGGTTTTGGACTATAAATACAAAACTTAGAGTTTGTAATTATTTATTCACACAATTAATAAGAAAACCCTAAAAGGGTGTTTGCCTCAATTTTATTGCTTTCTTTGGTATTGATTCTCAACACTTACTATGAATTGGCTCTTTCTAGGGATGCTTCCCTGCTCCAAATTAATTATAGCACAAACCAGTACGAGATTTTGAACTTGAGTGACGATATACTCCTCAAAGACATCATATTTACAATATAGCCGATAGAAGAAATACCATAAATTTCCGGTTTGTTTATCAAGTGAAAACTCGAGCTCTATATTTTTACCTCAACGCAGTATGGTCCCTACTTGAGACTTTCTCATATATAAAAATCGTTAAAGTATATAATCTAATATAGTAAATATATGTACAGATTTTTTGTTGCTTGTTAACATCTACACTTAAATTCGGTCGGTTGAGGCTGGCAGTGCGCTTGAGACCGTAGAAGAAGCGGGTCCATTTTTGAATTATTGCGGTTTCTAGTGTATATATAAACCTAGTTTTTCGTGCTCTCCAAGAAGCCATCACAAGAGTATGTGTTTGTGTGTAAACCTAGTTTCATTTTACACAAAAGAACCTTTTTGCTCTAATGGCTTCCATAAGCTTGTTTGAAACCTTCATTGCTATCATTTCCTTTCTCATCATACTTTATTCCCTCCTTAAGAAACCACATAAGAACCTCGCTAGGAACTGGCCTGTTCTCGGAATGCTTCCAGATCTTCTCATGGCGCTCCACCGAGTCTATGATTTTTTGGCGGAGATTCTCGAGATGTCCAACTTAACATTTCAGTTCAAAGGTCTCTGGTTTGCTGGAATGGATATGTTGATCACTGTTGATCCAGCAAACATTCACTACATATTGAGCTCAAACTTCTCAAATTACACCAAAGGCCCTGAGTTCAAAGAAGTCTTTGATGTTTTCAAAGATGTGATATTCAACACGGACTCAGAGCTGTGGAAAAACCTGAGGAAGGCTGCTCAGTCCAGGCTCAACCATCAGGGGTTTCAAAGATTTTCAGTGACTGCCACAAGAAGTAAACTCAAGAACGGGCTTGTACCTCTTTTCGATCATTTTGCAAAGGAAGGAACGACCGTGAACTTGCAAGATGTGTTCCAGAGATTCACTTTTGATACAACAATGGTTCTTATAACCGGGTCTGATCCTATAAGCCTCTCCATTGAAATGCCGGACAATGAGTTTGCTAAAGCAATTACCGATGCTGGGGAGGCGATTATGTATAGACATATTAAACCAAGGCTCTTGTGGAAGCTACAAAGTTGGATGGGATTGGGTCTAGAGAAAAAGTTGCTAGAAGCTGATGCCGTTTTCGATCGTGTTTGTGCAAAATACATATCAACTAAGAGAGAGGAGGTAAGATTGCAAGGGATTAGTAATCATCCCATTAACGGAGAAGGTGAAGATTTGTTGACGTCCTACATAAAGCTAGACACGACCAAGTACGAGCTTTTGAACCCGAGTAAAGATCAATTCCTCAAAGAAGTCATCTTGAATTTCATTATAGCCGGGAGAGACACTGTTGCCTCTGCGCTCACTTGGTTCTTCTGGCTGCTGTCAAAAAACCCTCAAGTGGTGGCCAAGATTCACCAAGAAATCAACACAGTCTTGCCAAGGTCCAAATATGGCCAAGAGAAGCTATCTTTTGATTCCACCCAGCTTAACAAGCTAGTGTATTTACATGGCGCGTTGTATGAATCGATGAGGTTATACCCACCAATTCCATTCGAGCGAAAGTCTGCTATAAAACCAGACGTGCTTCCAAGCGGGCATAAAGTCGATGCAAATTCCAAGGTCATTATCGTTCTTTACGCGCTTGGAAGGATGAGAGCTGTATGGGGAGAAGATGCACTTGAGTTCAAACCTGAGAGATGGGTTTCAAAGACTTGTGGTGGAAGCTTAAGACATGAGCCTTCCTTCAAGTTCTTACCGTTTAATGCCGGCCCGAGAAGCTGTCTTGGTAAGCAACTAGCTATGATTCTCATGAAGACCGTAGTTATGGAGATATTACAAAGCTATGACATTAAAGCCATCAAAGGGCAGAAGGTTGAGTCACTTCCTGGTCTTATCCTTCGCATGAAGCATGGGTTTGAGGTGACAATTACTAAGCGAGATTCAGCTTAGTGAAATCTATTCGTTAAATTAAATCCGAGTATAATAAAGTGATCTGAGAGCATGGTCTTCGATGAATCCCTTAGCTACTTTTATATGATCTGCGAGATGATGAATCTCTACCTTAATATTATGTATTCATGAAGATTATGAGAAAATTGGTGGTTAAATTGGTTAGTGGTCGGTCCACTCAATATTCTTTCCCCCTATAGAGTATTCAATTTGTTTTTAAAACGACACAATGTCTACACGATAAAATACATTAAGGCTATATCACGGGTTAATTTTTATCGAAATGGTTGGTCTGCATTTTATCAAGGATTAACTTGTAAATCTGATTCACGTGACCAGTTTTTTTTTTTTTTTGAAGAATATCTTATACTAATTGTGGATCATATGAATATTAAATAGTTAAATTGTGCAAAATTAATGTATTAAATTTGTTACATATAATATTATATATCAACACGTATCCTATTCTTTTCTTTTTTTAAAAGTCACTTCCACGTTTCCATACGCTTCGTTTCGCATACCCGTTTCTGATTCATTCCATGCAATGTACGTAATGTACCACAATTGTCGTTTTTAATACACAAAAGATTTTTTCAATGAAGATTTATATAGATCTAGTAATTTATTCTGCATTAGCTTCATGCCACATTTTCCTTTTTACAACATGCCACATATAACTAATTTATATTTTAAGGGCCACATATAAATATTTTATATTTCCTTCTTTCTTTTTTTTAATTAACAACTTTTGTTTTCCAACTAATTTATTATATTTATACATACTACTTCCTTCGTTTCAAAAAGATGATGTATAAAATTTACACCTAAATATTAAAGTTTATTAAATGTTTTTCCAAAACTAAAACATCATTTATTATCTATATAAACATAATACAACCAATGAAAAAACAATATGCAGAATATAAGTAGTCAAAAACAATTAAAAAATTAATTGATTTTTAGTTGAATATATCATCTATTTTGAAATGTTAACATACATCTTTCAAACATATTATTGTACTTTTAAAAAAATTCTACTTGGTGGCTTCTTTGCTTTTATCAATCGTTTTCTGAAATAATAAAACTTTAGATAATATTAAAAATATATATATAAATAATATTAGATAATACTTGGCTGCTTCTTCTCCACATCGTAGGTAACGGAATGCGTTCACCTATCCATCAACCAAGAAACCTCAAACTCACGTACGTCTATAAATCTGTGTCTACCGAACAACACAAGGCCCAATAAAACAAAGTAAAACAAGCCGTGAACAAAAAGTAAAAATATGTATTTGACAATCAGATTCCTCTTCACCAGTCCCATTCTTATTTCTCTTCTATTCCTTATTAGAAAACATATATATATATATATATATATATATATATATATATATACATATACTTATATCACACTTTTCTTATCCTAACCCTCCTCCGGAAAAGGCCGGCTTTCCCTTTATTGGAGAGAGTTTATCGGTCCTCTCTGCTGGCCGTCAAGGCCATAGGGAGAAATTCATCACCAACTGATTTAATCGCTTCTCCTTCTCCGTTCTTGAAGATACCGTTCTTGAAGCCTGAGTCTTTGAGAAGGTATGTAGGTGCTATGGATGAGATTGCAAGTAGAAATTTTGAGACGGAATGGGCTAATCAAGGTCAACTTATTGTCTTCCCTCTCACCAAAAAGTATGTAAAGTGCATCTCATGTTCTTTCACATATTTTTGGCCTATGTAGTTTGTTTGTCTTTATTTTTGCGTCTAAATGTTATCTTAACTATTATCCAAACCACACCACAACTTTACAAAAAAATAAACGAATAATGCGTAAAATTCGTAATCAAAATTGAAATCTCAAGTAGGTTCACGTTTTCGATAGCATGCTATTTACTCCTGAGCATGGACGACCCTGAAAGAGTAAGGATACTAGAAGAGTCATTTAGAATGGTAATGGTGGGGATCTTCTCAGTCCCAATAGATTTACCAGGAACACGGTTTAACCGAGCCATTAAGGCGTCGAGGTTGATCAAAAAGAGGTTTTCGCAATCATGAAGACGAGAAAAGAAGGCTGAAGGCATGGAAAGCATCAGCGGAACATGACATCCTGTCTCACATGTTGATGAGTATAGGAGAAGCCAAAGAGGAGGAGGTTACAGATAAGATTATTTGTAAGAGTTTTATGTGGAAGCGTTGAATCCGAAGACATACTTCTGCCCGGTTTAGCGATGAATATGACTTGGTATAATCTGAAAACGGACGCAGAGATCGGAGAAGAGATCACAGATGGAAATCAACCACTTATCACCGTTCAAATGCTCTTCTAATTGATCTCTCCAAGCTTTCTCTCTCTCTCTAAAAACGTTTTCTCTCTCCTTTATAACTTCTTTGTTTACCAACAATCAACAACTGTTGTAAACAGACACCCTCTTCTCTGTCTCATATATATATACTTAATGAAGAGACAATCTGTAGAGTCACAACTCTTTATTTAAGGAAGTTATAAAAACCAATTTCTCATAATTACTAGTTTAATTAAACCGGTTTGATATGCTGCCAAATCATGGGCACAAACCAACCATAAACCAATATCTCCCACTCGCACATCATAGGGAGCATAACAAGCATTGAAGAAGTATTAGAGACTAAGCTTGAGAATCGTAAATCAGAAATCATACAACAAATGAAATGTGCAATCCTTGCGAATACACCTACACTTTGGAGCTAAACTATGCACCTGTTAGGGATACATACATGCTACATCCCTAAGAAAAAATATTTAAATTTCAGTATGTCCTGCTGTTCCCCAAACTCATTTGCCTTTCATATCAGTCTTAACATATCTTATCCCTAAAGCATATGTTGGAAATTTTCTTATATCATGTGTTCACTATATACAAACTCCAACTGAGTGATATAGTGGCTGGCCAGCAAACACATATGTCAATATAAAAACAAATAGTTTTCCCTTCCTTTCTCACGTCTATCGGATCTGAACTAACTGCTTTCCTAGCATGTTCCATAAGGTTAATTATTTCATCACCGCTGAAAAACATACCAAAGTAGCTAGCAATCATTAGTTCATCCCTTCAAAACATAGCCGAAGATTCAAAAATAACCTTGAAACCATAAATATGTTTATAGAAAATCACATTGCAAGAGACGGGGTTAAAAAATACCATTTGCTTCCTATATGGTTTCATCAACACATGTGGTATGACTCACATGTTATAGTAGTTAACTCTTCTTTTAAGAGTATAGTCCATTGGATATACCAAATACCACTATATGGATCAAGCTACTACCAGCTCGCTTTACAACGCCTGATTATGTACTTATCCAGCTATGCCAAGTATTCATGATTAATTATGGAACAATCATGATCGATATTTTAATAGAAATATCTCACCTTACCTTCTTATTAAGGCGACACTGATAAGCTTTAAAAGGCAATCTCCCATTAACTCCAAACTCATCTCGTCATATCTTAGCCTTTCACATAGAAATCTAAGGTGATTGTTCATGTGAGTGAACCAATCTCTAACTTGGGGACACTTCTCAAAATTTTATATGTAAGTATACAAACTAAAAGACACCATTGTAAAATATTTAAAATATCATTAAATATGTATTAAATATCAAAAATAAATACAATGTCAAATAGCAAAGCTCCATTAGTACATACATCAAACTATACGCAAACCTAAAGCTCGAACATGTGCAAGAAACACATCTCTAGGAATGGGATTGGTAAATGGATTGCCACAATGTCTCTAACAAAATTATTCTCCATTTCAATGTGTTTTGTCCTCCCATGATACTTGGGATCTTTCATGTAAGCGATACAAGCTTGACTATCACAATGAATAATCACATGACACGAAGCACCGTTGTTACTTGTAAGTTCTTTAAGAATCTTCTTAGCCATACAGTCTCTTGAACTGATGCTGAACATGCAATGAAATCAGATTCCATCGTGGATAAAGCTGTACAAGACTGCTTTTTGCTACTCCAAGTAATGGCACCGTCACTGAGCAAGAAGGCATTTTACGGTTAAGGCCTTCACCTTTTGCGATTAGGATTTCAATGAGATTACAATCAAGCATTTTAAACCTTTCAAGGATTGTTCGAATGTAAGACTCTTTTGAAAAGACTAGTAATTTCTTTGATCAGTCTTGGTGTATTTTAACACCAAGTATATAATCAGCTTCTCCCATGTCATTCATCTCAAAATGAGATGATAACCTGATAACCACTGCTTAACGGTTGAAAAAACTCAATATCGTTTTCAGCCAATAAGATGTCGTCAACATATAGAGATAGAATTACAAAGAATTGTCTAGTGCTCTTGACATAGACACAATGGTCTTTACTAATCATCATAAAATCATAAGATGTTATTGCTTGATGAAAATGAAGGTACCATTGCCTAGAAGATTTTTTTAGGCCATATATTGAACGTCGGAGCATCAAACTTTGTGCTCATGGCCTTTTACAACAAAGCCAGGAGGTTGCTGCATGTAAATTTCTTCTTCTAGTTCCCTGTTAAGAAACGCAGTCTTAACGTCCATCTGATGTAATTCTATGTCTAGTCTGACAACTATGCCTAGAATAAGACGAATTAAGGCAAAGCTAACTACAGCTGAAAACGTTTCATCATAGTTTATATCCTCTTGTTGGGTATATTCTTTCGCAACCAAGCAAACCATATACCTATCTTTGGATCTGTCTGCCTTACGTTTGATCTTGAAAACCCATTTGTTTCCGATCGCTCGACGTTCTGGCGGAAGATCAACAAAGTCCCAGATATGGTTAACTTTCATATATACTAATTCTTCTCTTATTTCACCATCCCATTCAGCTGAGTCTGGGCAAGTGAGATTCTCTTGAACTGATCTAGGCTCTAGATTTTCATGTAAAGCAACCATAAAAGAATCCCCTTCAATTTCAAAACGATATCGAGGAACTTTTATACGATTACTTCTATGTGATAACACCATATTTTGACCACTTTTATGGATCATAATTATGTCTTATGCAGGTGTTTTAACTCTGTTTTCAATGGTTTTTAAAGTTTTTTCAATGTTTTAGAGTTTCAAAAGACTTTACAGGAAACCTGGGCAAAAGATATGCAATTTGGAAACAAATGAGCAATTTTGGATAAATGCAGACTATCAGAAGTATGGCAAGCGATGAAAACCTTCTCACTGTCTGATCACCCAACAATTTGAGACAACATAGAGGATCCAACCAGCTTTCTAATGCATTTGGTTTGGAGACAATCCAACGGTTAGATCTTCAGATACTCCCGATGCAAGAATGACAAAAAATGCAGTTCCGGAAGAGAGCCATGTGTCAGGACCACGGCCAACACCCATTTTCCCGTGGGTAGAGCCACCGCGACCGCGGAACTTGGTCGTTCACTTTCCAGACGACTTAATTAAAGCCCAGATCAATTCATTTCGTTATTTTTGAAGCCCTAAGTGTCCAGGACCACTCCAAAAGCTATAATACCCCTTTTAAGTCATTCCAAAGGGTGTGTTCTTTTCTGTACTTAGATTTTCGTGAGACACACAAACCCTGGAGAGAGAGAGGCCGCCCCTTGAAGGAGGAGCCGCCGCTGGAGGAAGTCATCGCGCCTCCGTCTGCTTCTCCGTTCTTCATTTTTCTTCCTTCTTTTCTTTAATTTCCTGCACTTTCAATACTCTATGATGCTTTGTTACAATATGTTTGAGTAGTTACCCAGTTGGGTTTAAAGGGATTGTTCAAAGGATATTTCATGTGTCTTTGCTTATGAATCGATAGATTTAGGATTATTAATCTTCTAGATGTTCTTCGTTTGTCTTTAATCTTAATGCGTGATTCTCTGCTGGCCACTTAGAAACCGATCTGATATGATATGTTGCGAAAGCTTTCATTAATTGTCTGAACTAGGGTGAAACTAGCAATAATTCTATAAGAGTGGAAACCTACCTGTAGTTGAGTTGTGAATATTGATGAGTCTTGTTCTGCTATTGCATCTTCTCCCTTCTAGGATCATAGTGGAAACCTACTGATCAGGGTTGCGAGAGATAGTTGTTTAATGCTGTGAAAGTAGGCTATTCATACTTCCATGCCTCGAGTTCTAGAACATACGTAGTTGATTACCTTTATCATATGTCTAAAATCGACATAGCTTAGTCCCCTTGATGCCCAACGTTTGTCTTTAATTGCTTACAACCTTCGATTTCCATTCTACTTTTATTCGCTTATTACTTGCTTTCATTCATAATCAATTTTTACTTGCTTTACTTGCTTTCGTTTTTCAATTGCTTTTACTTGCCTTGCTTTCTAGTTTAGATTTAGTGACAACCAAAACCCAAAACCAAAACCAAAACCTTTTTAGTTCTAGTCTGATTTAAGCATTGCCGTGAATTCGTACTGAAAAAACTAAGTCTCTGCGGATCGATACCCTAAGTACTACAGCGCACATATGTACACTTGCAGATATTTAGGGGTTATAAATTTAAAACCTGAAGCTTAGTAAAACGAAAACAACAACCCAGTTGTATTTGCTTGATTCGATCTAATTTATATAAAGGGAGACGAATCGACACCAGAGAACACAAGATATTCCGGAGAAGACTTAGCGACTGAGAACTCAAAACATTAGACTCTTAGTTGCATTAAGTCTTAGTTCGTTATTGTCCATCTAAATAACCGAACTCAGTTGTATTTGCTTGATTCGATCTAATAAAAACCAAGTTTCCGATCTAAAGTATTGTTTTGTCCCTTGTCGATATTCACATATCAATAGTAGCCGAGGTGGCACCAAACTTTTCTTTCAAAGCCTCCCACATGCCTTTCAAAGTTTCATCCCCGCTTTTACACTCGCAATCAAATTTTTGGCGCCGTTGCCGGGGACTTTGATTTGTTTCGTTGCGAATCCCAGCTTAAATCCATTAGAACACTTGTTTACTTTTACTTTTTCTTTTTATAAACAGTGGGAATCGTGGGTTCCTCGATTTTTGCAAAGATCCCGTAATTCACGCACCTCATTGAAGACAGGGTGCGAAACGTCCGGGAGTACGAATCGACTGCAGTTACCGATCTCAGTTTGTGACCTACTTTAAATCAAATGAGTTCGACTAAAAAGTCATTCCCTTTCATCGAACTGAGGGGGGGGCTAACTGTTGGGGGTGAAAACCGCACCCCGATTTTCTTCGGTACAAACCGAGATCAGCGAAATGTAAGCCCGGTTTACGAGGGAATGTACCGAGAAAGATGGGCCAAGTGAAACATTGGGCCGAACACAGCCCATTAGGCCGAGGTCGGTGAGAAGCCTCTCGAAGGAATGGAAGGTTTCCGTGAGCTCGGTCGAAATAGGAAAGTTTCCTAACGGAAAAAGGAAACTTTGAAGAGAAAAGGAAAGGAACCGAGAGAAAAGGAAAATCCTCTCGGTCCCATATCGCTTAAGACGTGCTTGAAGACCGATTGAGAGGATATATATAAAGGGAGACGAATCGACACCAGAGAACACAAGATATTCCCGAGAAGACTTAGCGACTGAGAACTCAAAACGTTAGACTCTTAGTTGCATTAAGTCTTAGTTCGTTATTTTCCATCTAAATAACTGAACTCAGTTGTATTTGCTTGATTCGATCTAATAAAAACCAAGTTTCCGATCTAAAGTACTGTTTTGTCCCTTGTCGATATTCACATATCAACAATTGGCGCGCCAGGAAGGGGGCCTAAACAGATTTCTCAAGTTTTAGATCGGACTTCGGATAGATTGAATAAGAAATGACGGACCAAGCCAACCTTCAGGAGGAAAGAAACCCTCTCGGTGGAGAAAACGCGAACGCTCCAACCGAGCAGGCAGGAGGAACTCCCGGGGAAAACGCTGAAATCGCAGCCGGGCAAACCCCCGCAGCCGTAGGAGGTTATGGAACCGAACTTTTGCTCCAAGTATTCAACGCTCAGTTTGAAGCCATCAACAAAAGGAGCGAGGAACGTTTTAGCCAGATGGCGGCACAGATCGCCGAGCTCAGTCAAACCCGAACTCCCCTTCGAGTCCGGAACATCATTGAAGACCTTAATACCGACGGAGATCCAGCCGGAACTATGAGGTCTACCGCGGTGGGATCAGCGAACGCACCAGCGTCAGATTTAAGTCGAGATGCCGAATTCGAGGCAATGAAGACTCAACTCCGTGAGATCACTTCAAAGATACACCAAGCAACAAGCGCGGCTCCGGAGATTGAGCGCGTCATTCAAGAAACGCAGAAAACACCCTTCACGCCGCGCATAGCAGGAACACCGGTCAAACACATGGAAAAACTTAAGATGAAGGTCTATGAGGGCAATACCGACCCCCGGCACTTTTTGACGTCATTCGGCATCTGCATGAACCGATACCAATTCAGAACCGCCGAGGAGAGAGATGCGGTCCAGTGCCGATTGTTTGTGGAAAGCCTGGGAGGAATAGCCCTCGATTGGTTCTCGCGACTCGAGGCAAACTCGATCGACAGCTACAAGGAATTGACAACAGCATTCGTCAAACACTTCTCGATGTTCATCGGGCAGAACACCAAGAACTCCGAGCTATGGCAAATAACTCAGGGAGCAAGCGAGAGTCTTCGCGATTTCATCCAGCGCTTCAAAACGATTGTCGCCAATTGCACGATCAGCGACGAAGCCGCCCTTCTTTGTCTCCAGAAAGGAGCTCGGATAAAGACTAGCTTCCGTAGCGCGTTCACGCACAACCCCCCTCAGACATTGGAAGATGCTTTACACCGAGCTAACACTTATATCGTCGAAGAAGAAGAAGAAGCCGCCTACGAGCAAAACTATTCGGCGAAGCAACCCGAACGTTCGAAAGTAACAACTAGTGAACCGCAGTCAGGATACGGTCGAGGGTATGAAAATCGCAAGAATTTCTACGCTAATACAATCCAACAACCGACCAAACAGTGGAACAACAAATGGGTCCGCGGCGAAGAAGATCAAGACGAGTCTTTGTTCTGCGAATTCCATAACCGCAGAGGACATAGCACCGAAGAATGCAGACAATTGCGTGAATACCTGCTCGGCCAATATCGAAAGGGGCCAATCTCAGTTGACGACCTCCGTCGCTTAAACGCGCCCAAGAACAGCGGACAGATCTCGATTGACGATCTCCGTCGTTCGAACATGCCTCGACCGAATAACGCGCAGCTCGAGAACGCGATCACTAAGGATCCGCCAACTCCACCAACCTTACCGGCGTTACCACCGCCGCCACCGAACCCGCCTGCTTTGCCTGAACAACAGAAACGGAATCGCGATGACCGAGCACAAGAGAACCATGCCCCCAAAGCCAGGAAACGCGTCAACATGATAATGGGAGCCATCGAGGCTTGCAGCTACTCGGTTCGAGCTATCAAAGAATACAGTCGACAGGCCGCTAGCGCGCCCAAAGCCCCACAAGATCCGCCGAAAGGGACGCCTTTGGTATTTACCGAAGCCGACACAATCGGGTTGCATAAACCGCATAACGATGCTCTCGTTGTCGAACTACTCCTCGATCATGTCGAAGTTAGCCGTATTCTGGTCGATACAGGCAGTTCGGTTAACATCATCTTCAAGGAAGCACTTGACCAGCTCGAGTTGGCATCAGATAGGATTGGGCCGTTTATCGAGCCACTTACTGGTTTTGATGGAGAACGCTGCATGACGGTCGGCATGGTCAACATCCTGATCTACCTCGGCGGAGTCGCAAAGATTATCCAGTTCCTCATCCTCGACAAACCGGCGATCTACAACGCCATTCTCGGTACGCCTTGGTTACACGCGATGAAGGCGGTCGCCTCAACATACCATCAATGCTTGAAATTCCCGACCCCCGACGGTGTTTACACTCTCCGAGGAAACCAAGCCGTCGCTCGATCATGCTACATAAATGAGTGCAGACTTCATTCGGCCAACCAAGCTTGTGTCGTTAGTTCGTTCGGACCAACGGACAAACTCGTCGTCCAGCAGACAAAACCTAAGCAGGAGTCAATCGTTCAAGTTTGTATCGATGAGCTAAGGCCAGAACGTCAAGTTGGAATCGGTGCCGAACTCGACCTAAGCATCCGCGAGCCACTTGTCCACTTTCTGAAACAACACTCGTCAACTTTCGCTTGGTCGGTAGAGGATATGCCCGGGATCGATCCACAGATCGCGTGTCATGAGCTCAACATCGATCCGACGTATAAGCCAATCAAGCAGAAACGCCGAAAGCTCGGACCGGAGAAAGCACAGGCTGTCAACGACGAAGTCGAGCGCTTGCTCAAAGCAGGATCCATCACCGAAGTAAAATATCCTGATTGGTTAGCAAACCCCGTGGTCATAAAAAAGAAGAATGGTAAATGGCGAATCTGCGTCGACTTTACCGACCTCAATAAGGCATGCCCGAAAGATAGCTTTCCTTTACCTCATATTGACCGCCTTGTGGAAGCAACTGCCGGGAACGAACTACTCTCGTTTATGGACGCATTCTCCGGGTACAATCAGATTCTTATGCATCCGCAAGATCGGGAGAAGACGTCGTTCATCACGGACCGCGGCATCTATTGCTATAAGGTCATGCCCTTCGGCCTGAAGAACGCTGGAGCAACGTACCAACGACTGGTAAATCGGATGTTCGCGAGCCAGCTCGGGCGAACTATGGAAGTTTACATCGATGATATGCTCGTAAAGTCACTCATCGCTTCCGATCACGTCGGCCATCTTCGCACATGCTTCGATATTTTGGACCAGTATGGTATGAAGCTTAATCCCACTAAGTGTACGTTCGGCGTGACATCTGGAGAGTTCCTCGGATACATCGTTACACGGCGAGGCATTGAAGCTAATCCAAAACAGATCGCAGCTATTCTCGAGCTCCCATCACCGAAAACCAAACGCGAAGTTCAACGACTCACCGGACGTATCGCAGCACTTAATCGATTCATATCCAGATCGACGGACAAGTGCTTGCCTTTCTACCAACTTCTTCGCGGTAACAAGCACCTCGAATGGAACGAGAAGTGTGAAGAGGCCTTCGCCGAGCTAAAGAAATACTTGTCCACTCCGCCAGTCTTATCTAAGCCTGAAACCGGCGAGACACTCTATCTTTATATCGCGATTTCGGAGTTTGCAGTTAGTAGTGTACTTGTTCGAGAAGATCGTGGCGAGCAGAAGCCAATTTTCTACACAAGCAAATCCCTCGATGGATCGGAGTATCGTTATCCGACTTTGGAGAAATTCGTCTTTGCCGTAGTTATTTCTGCAAGGAAATTACGCCCGTATTTCCAATCTCACGCGATCGTGGTCCTAACCGATCACCCTCTTCGTACTTTCCTCCATAGCCCAAATCAGTCCGGACGACTCGCCAAGTGGGCCATCGAACTCAGTGAATACGACATCGAATACCGAGGAAGAACTGCAACGAAGTCTCAAGTCCTAGCAGATTTCTTGGTCGAACTTCCACCGGAGCTCGTCGAAGCTAATCCGGTCTTACAACCCTGGATCCTTCACGCCGACGGTTCCTCGTCCTATAAAGGATCCGGAGTCGGAATTCGTCTTAAATCACCCGAAGGAGAAGTTATCGAACAGTCATTTCGACTCGGCTTCCCGGCATCCAACAACGAAGCCGAGTACGAAGCATTGATTGCCGGACTACGACTTGCCAAAGGTATCGGCGCCGAGCACATACACGCCTACTGCGACTCTCAACTCGTGGCTAACCAGTTTCACGGCGAATACGAGGCCAAGAACGACCGCATGGACGCATATCTCAAAGTCCTTAAGGATGTTGCTTCGAAGTTCTCTACCTTCGAGCTTACAAAGATACCTCGAGATGAGAATGCAACCGCCGACGCCTTAGCCGCTCTCGCGACTAATTCTGATCCTGACCTTCGGCGAACTATCCCAATTGCAGCAATCGAGCGACCAAGTATCGAGCCCGCTCCGAACTGCAACATCATTACAAGACGACGTGATTACGAATCCCAACCCAATCTCGCTCCACCCCTCACCCGGAAGACGAAACCCAAAGAGGTCGTTCCCGATCCCAACAACGACACGGCCGAGCTCAATGATAACGAATCCGATCCCGAAGACGAATCCGAAGGCCAGCATGTTCCAATCGATATCGAAGCCGAAGGAGAGGACGAACCCGAAGATTGGACCTTAGAAATCGTGGGATACATCAGAGACGGAACAGTTCCCGCAGATAAATGGGCAGCTCGGCGCCTTAAGGCTCGCGCAGCTCGATATGTGGTCATTAAAGGTACTCTTCTCAGATGGGACGCGTCCGGTGTACTCTTGACTTGTGTTCACGGCAACGACATTATGGAAGTAATGCAGAATGTTCATGAAGGAGACGGAGGAAATCACTCCGGAGCTCGGTCATTGGCGTTCAAGATCAAAAAAGCCGGTTATTACTGGCCTACTATGCTTTCTGACTGCAAAAAGTATACAGCACGCTGCGAGAAGTGCCAACGTCATGGCCCGATGAACAATCTTCCCACCGAGCTCTTGATGACTTCGACCGCTCCATTGTCTTTCATGCGCTGGGCAATGGACATCATCGGTCCTATTTGCCGATCTACGACTCAGAAGCAATATGTTCTGGTCGTCACGGATTACTTCACCAAATGGGTCGAAGCCGAAGCATACCCTGAGATTCATGGAATCGATGTCAAGAAGTTTGTCTGGAAGTTCATAATCTGCCAACACGGAGTCCCGTACGAGATCGTTACGGACAACGGAACCCAATTCACTTCGATCATATTCACAGATTTTTGCGCCAAGTGAGAAATCCGACTAAGTTTCTCTACCCCGCGATACCCGCAAGGAAACGGACAAGCCGAAGCCACAAACAAGACCATTATTGATGGATTGAAGAAACGACTCGATACCGCTAAGGGAACTTGGGCGGACGAACTTGATGGCGTCTTGTGGTCTCACCGAACTACACCACGACGTTCGACCGGTCAGTCACCATTCTTCCTTGCATTTGGCACAGAAGCTATGTGTCCAGCCGAACTTAACGTCCCAAGTATTCGCCGAACTAAACTTACCCAGCAACCCGACGCGAATAACGACATGATGATTGACGCACTCGACTTAGTCGAAGAACATCGCGAACGAGCATTGCTCCGGATACAGAACTACCAGTAACTAGCAGCTCGCTACTACAACAAAAAGGTTAAAGGCCTTCACTTTGAAGATGGCGATCTCGTACTTCGCAAAGTTTATCAAAACACAGAAGAGAAGAACGCAGGAAAACTTGGTGCAAACTGGGAAGGACCATACCAAGTAATGAAGGTTGCTAAGCCCGGCGTTTATCAACTCATGAAGTTAGATGGAACTCCAATCCCACGATCTTGGAACTCAATGCATCTCAAACGATACTACTACTAGTTCGTTACGAGCTTCACAAAAAAAAAAAGCCTTCGGACTACTTAGTCGGAGCAAAAAACACTTTTGTACTTCGAACTACGAATGGCTTGATCCCTTTAAAGGGTACGTAGGCAGCTCGTTACCGAGTCCAGCTATAACATCAATATAATTTTATTAAGTTCTAGTTCGGAAATCACAAGGTACTGAACTCCTTGTTCTTACATCGACTTCCTGGCCAGTTGTTCGATAGCATTCCACATGAATGCAAACTTAAAAGCCGAGATCCGTCTCGCGAGCACCCACATGGTGTCGTGGTAAAGCCACATATCACAAGCCGGGCCCAGTCCCGCAGTTGAATTTCTAAGTCACCAAGAACAATAAGCCGAGCACATCTTGCATACTTAGGTTCGACTTAGAAAAACCTTGAACTCGTTTCGTGCGTTTACAGGAGTTCGAATTAATTCACTCTTCCAGTACGAAACGATTCACTTGGGTTCCCCAGGCCGAGCTCAAATTCTTGCACAATAAGCCGAACTCCTCAGATTCGCACCATAAGCCGAGTTCACAACACTCGCAAATCGCAAGCCGAATTATCGCAATTCGCTATCGAAAGATAAAAATTATGTTCGAACGTCATTTACTATGTATCGATCTAGTACTTGAAAGATTTGTCTAAATTACCGACGAAACAAAGTCAAAGTTCAAATTAGATACCGATCTACTACTTAAAAGATTCTTCTAAATCATTAAAATAAGAAAAGAACGAGCATATAATTAAAGCCTCCCGAGAAGCGAATAAGTTTCAAAAGAAACCCACCGAGGGTCCAGAGAAAGATAAAAATTACAAAATAACCCATGAAAGGGCAGTTAAGTTCGATTAAAAAGAAAAAGAGAAAGACTAAGCAGTCTTTGAAGTAGCAGCCTGATCAGCGTTAAGGATGTCCTCGTTGGAACCGAACTGCTCGCCCCTCGCAGGATACTGCGCGCTCTAGGTCACGTTCACGGCCGGAACGTCATCCTCGTCCGCGGAAGGAGACATCCGCTTATCCTCTTCAGTGAGAACGCAAGCATCGACCGAACGAAAGTCTTCCAACGCCTTGGCATGCTTTGCCTCGATATCAGCTACCATCTCGGGCGGGACCTCGTACAAGCCCTTCTTCTTCAACTGCTTGATGAAGCCGAGAACTCCTGTGAGCTGGTTGACCACCAAGTACGGCTTCCGAGCCCTGTCAGCGTCGTCCAAGCTTCCGAGCCCTGTCAGCGTCGTCCAAGCTCCTGTGAGCTGGTTGACCACCAAGTACACCTTCTCCAAACGCTCGCAGGCCTTTGCAAGCACGCTCTTAGCTCGAGCCTTCCAGTGTGCCACCAAGTCCCTCAGTCGCTCCCGTCTTTCTCGAACTCTTGAGAAAGCAATGTTTGAGCCTCAGTTAGCTCGGTCCTTACCGCTTCAAGCTCAGCGCTCTCCTGCTTCAGCAGATCAACCGAAGAGTGGAGGATATCGTTAATCTGGAGCTCGGTGGCGAGACGCTCCTTAGCCTTAGCGATTCTTTCCTCCAGTTCCGGGACCCTCACTTGCTCGTCGAATAGAGCTACCTCGTATGCGGCGACCAGATTGTTGGTCTGGCTGGCGAGCTGCGAAAAAGAGAATCGAATCAGAATTCGCACTTAAGAAAATAATTGAATAAATAAACAGAATCAAGAAATTATCACAGCAGTTGTACGGGCGATCCCCTTGTACATGTTCGGAAACCGGAGTTCGGGAACCGAAGGGAGGCTCATGACCTGAGAGGAAATTTTGTGGTAGAGCTCAGCACAAGCATCGACGTTCTCCTCGAAAGGAGTCTTTTCGTCATAATCAAAACGAAGTTTAGCCCTTTTAGCCGGCTCTGGCCCTGGAGAACCCTTGGTTTGATCTCTTTCTTGCCTTTTCCGAGAATGAGAGGCTTTGGCTCGATCCTGGGGCAGAGCAAGGTCCGACGTCACAGCAGTCGGCGGTTCGAACTCCTCAGCGGCATCCTGAGCCCGGAAAGAATTTTCGATCTTCTTAGTCTTCTTCGAAGACTTCTTCTTCTTCAGCTTCTTCTGACCAGATTGGTCAGGGGAGTTCGCAACCGGCGGTAGTTCTTCAGGCTGCTCCTCGGTCACTGCTGCAGCAGGGACGGGGATCGGGCCCGTGTCGTTCGGTTCCTCTTCATCGATGAGAGTAGGGATCTCGTCCAATGAGAGCATCCTAGCGGTTCGGGTACGTTGAGCTCGTGGTTTTGGTGCTTTGCGTCTTGGAACAGCTCGGGGCTTGTTAGCTCGAGCTTTTGGCTTCCGCGGTTTTGGTTCTCGGACGGAATCTGCAGTAAGAATATGTCAAGGAGGAGTTCGGAATAAACTCGAGAGTAAGAGTGAGAAAGTAAGCTCGGTAATCCAACCTGCTTTCTTAGCTCGACGCTGAAGAATTTCCTCCCAAACTTCAGGCCAACGACGCTTACCGGCTTCACTGAAGGTTTCTTCGAATTCGGAGGTAAGACCGGAGTTGAGAATGATACTTGGGAGATGACGACCTGCGAAAGATATAACGAAAGAAAGTTAGTCGAAGGCAAAATCGAAATTTAGCTAAGTATGAGATCATTTAAATCTACCAATCGGAATCTTCCACTCCGATTGAGTGGGGATGTCAGAGTTGCTGACAGTGAGATCGTTCATCTCGAGATAAAAATATAGAGACTCCCAGTCGTTGAATTTACTGGGTTTAGGCCCAGTAACTATGTTCTTCTTCGGCTTGGCGTTCGCAGCGAAGAACCACTCCTTGGATTTGTGGATGTTCACCGAAAAGAGATCCTTGAACAGCCGACTGGTTGGAATCTCACCGAGCTCTTCGCATAAGGAGACGAACCCTACATAGTTCGTTATAGAAGCCAGCATCACCTGCGTGAGAGCTACGCCTCGCCGATTGCAGTACCCGAGCAGACGGGAGGGAATTGGAAGCGAAAGCCCACATTGTGTGAAATAGGTCAAGTATATGCAGAGGAAGCCTTCGGGGACGTCCCATGGCCGATCTCCAGCTTCAGGAATTATCAAAGCAATTTGATCCGAGAGCCCATTTTCTTCGAGCACGGCCTGAATAGCACCCAAAGTAACCGAGGAAGACGGCACGTTGTTAGGACGAACGACCCTTCGTCTTGGAAGCGGTAGTGAAGCATGGTTCACCGCTTCAAGGTTGTCTTCGGCAACTTCGGCCTCAGTGGCGTCCTCCTCCTGATTTTCTTCTTCGGCCTCCTCGATCTCATCGATCTCACGATTACTACCGCCAGCGTTCGGCCCTGTCCGAGCCTCCGTTTCGCGAGTCTCTGTAGTCAGACGCTCGGTGGCTTCAACTCTAGATCTAGCACGGCTGCTGCTAGCTTCCACCGATTTGGAATTCTTACGAACTAACTGTGGAGGATTGCTCTCTTCCTGAGACGAACTCGATTGATGAGAATTTCAAGAAGAAGAGCTCGGCTCCGAGGGTTCGCGGCGATCCTCCGGAAGGATTTGATTGGAAGAAGAGTTAATGGAAGAACTAGAAGACATTTTAAGTTCGAAAAAGGAGAGTCGAAAGAGATCTAAGAAGATTGAAGAGCAGTTTGAAGATCAACCGGAAAAGATTGAAGATTGATCAGAGAACTTGAAGATCGAACGGAAAACTTGAAGATAGATCGGAAAAATCAAGGATTCGCGGCGGCGAAAGTTGAAGAAACGAGAGAAACAAAATCTAGAGAGAGAAACAAAATCTAGAGAGAAGGGAGAGCAGCGTACCTTATATATGCTTGAGCGAGAGTAATGAATGTGAAGAGGAGTTTTTCCCTTTATAAACAGTGGAAATCGTGGGTTCCTCGATTTTTGCGAAGATCCCGTAATTCACGCGCCTCATTGAAGACAGGGTGCGAAACGTCCGGGAGTACGAATCGACTGCAGTTACCGATCTCAGTTTGTGACCTACTTTAAATCAAATGAGTTCGACTAAAAAGTCATTCCCTTTCATCGAACTGAGGGGGGGGGGGCTAACTGTTGGGGGTGAAAACCGCACCCCGATTTTCTTCGGTACAAACCGAGATCGGCGAAATGTAAGCCCGGTTTACGAGGGAATGTACCGAGAAAGATGGGCCAAGTGAAACATTGGGCCGAACACAGCCCATTAGGCCGAGGTCGGTGAGAAGCCTCTCGAAGGAATGGAAGGTTTCCGTGAGCTCGGTCGAAATAGGAAAGTTTCCTAACGGAAAAAGGAAACTTTGAAGAGAAAAAGAAAGGAACCGAGAGAAAAGGAAAATCCTCTCGGTCCCATATCGCTTAAGACGTGCTTGAAGACCGATTGAGAGGATATATATAAAGGGAGACGAATCGACACCAGAGAACACAAGATATTCCGGAGAAGACTTAGCGACTGAGAACTCAAAACATTAGACTCTTAGTTGCATTAAGTCTTAGTTTGTTATTGTCCATCTAAATAACCGAACTCAGTTGTATTTGCTTGATTCGATCTAATAAAAACCAAGTTTCCGATCTAAAGTATTGTTTTGTCCCTTGTCGATATTCACATATCAATAGTAGCCGAGGTGGCACCAAACTTTTCTTTCAAAGCCTCCCACATGCCTTTCAAAGTTTCATACTCTTCAAACTCACACATGAAATCATCTTGCATACAACTCAACAACGTAATGCGAGCGATGTTATTGTTTCTTTTCAAGGAAAGATATGCCTCGTGATCTTTCTCATGTTGAGCCGTAGTACCCTGCTCAGGCTCTTCCATGTGATGGAAAAATGTCTCCTTAACCTCCTACATATCGAGGATATACTGGACTTTCCGATACCAAATATCGTAATTGTCACCATCCAATTTGTCTCCTCGGTTGAGCTCAACAATGATGTTCTTACAAGCAGACGACATACCTGCTTGAACATCTAGAGACATTACTTTCTTTGCATACTTTTAACATATAACCTATAATTTTGAAATGAAGATAAATTAATCTAAGATAACTCCATTTATAATACAAGATCGAGAGCTCACTATGTTCCCAATCATCACTCGTATTATAAATTTTGTTACAATAAATTAGTTTGCTCCATGCAAAATTTTAAGGTCTAAACAAATTAGAACTCCCACTTAATCATAGTATTTTTAAACATGAATGAACAAATAAAAATGTATTAGAAAAATGATCAAATCAATTATTTTTTATTGTTCATCGTCTTCCTAAAAGAGATGATTTAACAGCAATTGGTTCAAAATTTTCGACCCTAATATCTCTCTAAATACGTAGCCAAATCATACGTTCTATCTATCAAACGAAAGATAATTTTAATATCTACGCACAGAAGCTAAAATTACGTAATTCCGAATTATAAACAGAGATATATGAACGAAACAATATTTATGGTTTTCTCACCATTTTTCAAATTCATGCAATCTATTGCGGTTCTCAAAGTGATATTTTCCAGAATCATTCAAGCCTATATGATGAACATTTATGCAAAGTTTCAATTCATTTCATCATATATTCACAAATTCACCATTATCAATCATTTAAACAGTAACCATTTTCTCCAATTCATCATGAATGAGCGTGATTAACATATAGCTGTTTTAATTCATGATTATTATGAACGTGTTCATTCCAGAACCGAATTCTAAAGCTCTGATACCAATGAAATAGTTTATGCAGAAGTGTTTAATCCGAAGACATACCTTTGCCTGGTTTAGTGATGAATATGATTTGGTTGGTATGATATGAAAACGGACGCAGAGATCGGAAAAAAGATCACAGATGGAAATCAACCACTTATCACCGTTCAAATACCCTTTCAATTGATCTTTCCAAGCTTTCTCTCTCTAAAAAGTTTTATCTCTCTTCTATAACTTATTTGTTTACCAACAGTATCACCAACAGTTGTAAACAGTCACATTTTTCTCTGCAATGTCTTATATATATACTTAATGAAGAGACACAGTCTGTAAAGTCACAATTATTAATTTAGGAATTTATAACAACCAAAATCAAACCGGTTGTATGCTATCAAATAATGGGCGTAAACCAACCATAAACCAATATTATTGGATTATTTGTCAGGAGGATACGACACACGGACACAGCAAGTATTGTATGTACTTTTGTTGTCAGCTATCTTGCTGAATATCCTCATGTGTACAAACGTGTGCTACAAGGTATGTTTAGGTGCAAGGCTTTTCATTTTGTAGTTTCCTTCCAAAAACAAAGTTAGCATATATATATATATATATATATTGATTAACAAAAAGGGGGTGGCTAGTAAATTTTATTCCTTATTTTATATTTGAAAGAAAATAAATTGTGGAAGTGCAGAGCAAAAGGAGATACTAAAAGGAAAGGGAGAAAAGAAGGATTAAGGTGGGAGGACGTTGAGAAGATGAGATTTCATGAAATGTTCCATGTGAAGTGATGAGAATAGTTCCTCCTATTTCTGGCACTTTTCGTGAGGCCATCGATCACTTTTCTTTCAAGGGATTTTACATCCCGAAAGGATGGAGGCTAAGGTTATCCCAAATCTTTTAAAATATATCGAAATAAATTTGTATCATTGTAGAATTTTAATCCGGTTCTAATGATCTATGAATCTAATTCCGCAGGTAATTGTAATTGAAATTGAAGAACACAAGACAAGATTTGGTCACCCAGAGTTCACCAATGTGGCTACGTCTCTGGGAAGTGAACGGTATCCCTCAACTGCATCCGCTATCAATTCCGATTACAGAGATGGACACAAGGTGCCTTCGAATCCGTTACAGAGATCAAGCTCAAAAAGAATCCGAAGGAAGAAGATGATCGGACCAGAATTTGTCCGCCGATATGATATGCGTCTACTCCAACGTAAGCTCCAATCACTCTCTCTCTAGCTTTTCTCTCGCTTTCTCTCTCTATAACAACTCTCTCTCTCTCTCTCACTATGTTCTCTTGTTAATCCAGCTCGCGGGAAGAAGAAGAAGACATCAGTCAACTCATCTTCTGGCTTGGGCCTTTTTCCAGAAACCAAGGCCCATTAAGAGAATTGGTGCACGGTTTGGGCCTTGAACCCATTCGAGTGTTTGTCTGAACCCAGTTGACCTCAGACTCATGCTCATTATGTTTATAATCATGCATTACACCATTATTCGTGATGATAACCATAATTCTATCGGAGTGCCGTCGCCACACATAAGAATCCGGATAACTTTCCAAACTAGAGAGAATTGAGCCACCCGATTCGAAGGCAGTGGTCCGCAGCCTTATTCATATATTCCATTTGGAGGAGGACCCAGGATGTGTCCAGGGAAAGAGTACGCTCGTCTAGAGATTCTCATATATATACACTATTTTGTTAAGAGATTCAAGTGGGATAAGTGTTTCCAAAAGAAAATAAATTAGTAGTTGAACTTTTACCAATACCCACAAAATGTACTTTCACTTATAGAAGTAACCAAACTTCTGAAATATAAATACAAAAGGAAACTATAAGTCTATATGTTCAAATAACTCTAAGTTTTGAAAACTTGTCCTGCGTATGTAATTTTTTTGGTTAGGATAGTATTTTCCTTCTTCCTCCGGAAAACATTGTAATTTTGGAAATGTTTGCCTTTGGGCAGGAAGGAATAAAAATGAATTTAAAGTAAAAAAAAAACAAAACTCTAAGTTTTCTAAATAAGATATTGTAAATAATATACTCACAAGTATCTATAATATATCCATAATCAAATTTTAATCTCAATTGTGATCTCGGTCGATCATGGTTCGTAATTGGAAAAGATGATGAGAAGGAGATCAAGATACTACATGAAAAGCGAGACAAAGTCTTAAGAGTTACTCAAAGATAGGTGAACATTGTTGGAGAATTCAATGGGCACTCAATTGTCCAAGAAGATGCAATGGAGATGAATGAAGATTTGCAAAAAGAAGTGAACCATCCCGACTATTAAGAGGGATATCGTTTGAACCCATTCTACAAAAACAACAACCATTCTTACAGAAACGGAGAACCCCTAAGATCAAATGTACCAATTTAAATCTTAAGGATACGGCTTCCCACAAAAACAATTCAACAGAACTATGGTGTAGTTGCAAAGATTCAGTTTCCAAACGGTTGTCCAAAAATTGAAGAAGTTTACGTTGATTAGCCTTCGGAATTTACTTTGACTAGCCTTCGGAATTTAGGATAATAAGTTGAATAGAATGTAACAACAATCAAGAGTCTAACTTATGTTCTTCAACAATATCAAAGTATACAAAATGTATTTTATATAGTATATTTTTGTGTGGAAATGAGCTAATCATCTCCTCTTCGTCGGGTCCCCTCTTCGTCTTCATCCTTGCTTTTATATCATTATGGGATTATAATGGCGTTAATTAATGGTACTTACTTCTGTTGGAACTCAATATTAATAAGCATTTGGACTTGTAATATTAAGTTTGAATGTGAATAAGAAATGAAGTTTAATAAGCAAATGGACTTTATAAATTCATTTGAGTTTATAGTGAAATGTTCCTATTGGTTATAACTAAAAGTAGAAGTTTAATGGAAGTGTATTTGTCCCACATTGCTCACCAAGAAGAAAAACATCTTGTATATATATGGCCTTCTCACAATAAGGAGTAAAATGACATTATGCAAAAACACCTACGCGCGCCGCCGCCGTTGCCGGTGCCGGACTTGTTGCTTATTGCATTTTTTAGTTGGTTCTTAAAGCTCTTGGGCTCTTGGGCTCTATATAGCTGGGCGTAGGTCGTGGGCTTCTTAGTTCCTACGAAATAATTTTTTGCATATTGAAAAGATAAATCTTAGTAAATAAAAGATTGCGTCCAGATCATAACGAAAGATTTCCGAATTCTTTTACTTGCAGGAAAACAATAATATCTCGTGAATATTCCTTTCGCCAAAGTTTATTCCTTGCGGATCAAGCTGAACCTTCCAGTATAAATAGACGCCATCTTCTCTCATTATAAATAATCAAATTCTCGAATACACCAAACACACATCAAATAATTCTTTCCAGCAAATCTCTCTCGTTTTAATTTCGTAAGTATCTCAAGAACTATAACATAGTAATTTCAGTTCGCAGATTCTATTACAAATGTTGCGTAATAGTCTCATCACGGTTGTATCTTGGGATTCCGCAACAAACCGTCACACATTACGGGCGATTTATTGAGTTAAGGAAAAAGAACATCGACTCCGTGTTTTTTTTGTCTGTTTTCAATCGGTTTTTAAACTCTCGTTTTAATCTCTTATCTTAACATATCGTTTATAATATTGCTATTTTCTATTCATGATTTCAATCGGATTTTCGCGGTCCAACAACTCCTCAGATTTATTTATAATTTATTTATAATTATTTTCTATTTATTTATAATTTATTAATTATTTTATTAATTATTTTAAACTATTGGTTTTGATATTAATCATAATAATATAGTTTTTTTTTGGTTTTATAATTATATATAATGTTTGTTTTGGTAGTTTTATGTTTAACCGCTAAAACAATTGCTGGTTTGTCAGTCAAAATTGTCTTGCAAATGGATTCGCTTTAAAAAATTTAACCAGTCGTACAAACCGCTGAATAACGCTCAAAACCGCAATTGTCCGCTTCTGCAAACTCTCACACTCACAACCGCAACTGCTGCGTTTAAACCAGTTAAGCCTTAACTCTTTCACTAATGTTGTTGTCTCGACGGTTTGAACTTTTGACTCAGTGTCATGTTCGTGTTAATGGGGTTTTTATCAAAAGAAGACACAGAGATT